GCGAAGCATGCCCGGTTAGAGGAGAAGCATAAAAAGACCATCGAGCACAATAGTGTTTTTAGTTCCACTGTCAGAGACCTTGATGTCAGCATTCGGGCGGAAAGATCCGCGCGAGATAATCTTTTTGAGGTTGGCCAGCTTAATGAAGAACTTCAGCGCCGAGTGGCTTCCTTCATTTTTTAAAAAACATATGCTATGTACAACATGAGAAGAAAAATCTTGGAAGAGGAAAAAGCAGGTGTCATTGACTTTGATGCCGAAATCGCTAAGGCCCGGGAGCTGGAGTCAACTGCCAAAAAGGGTCTTTCGGTCCGGCCTGATGCTACCAATTCTTCTAGTTCCGGTTCTGATTTCTCGAGAAATGTAGAAGAACCGGAAGGAGATGATGTTGAAGTCCAAAATGATGAAGGCCAAGATATCGAACCGGGCCAGATCTACCCACTTCTCCTAGGGGCGTAGATGCTTCTCTTCCTCTGGGTTCCGGAGATGCAGCAGCTTAGTTTTGCTTTCTTTTTCAAACTTTTGTACTTATGCTATCTATGAATAGAAGTATCTTTTTGTTTGCGTATTATTCATGTTTTTCTCTTTGCTTCCTTTTTGTTTAAGTATATGCGCAAGTTTGCTCTTTGCGTCTTTTTTTGTATAAGTGTTTGCGCAAGTTTTACATTTTGCGTCAAATTGTGCAAGGCTTCAGGTGTTTTTTTCCCCCGAAAGCATTTGGATTTCGGGCTTAAGTTTTTCCGAAATCAACCCTTTAACGTGAGGGTTTCCATAAGAGAGGTCCCTCTTATGTTTACGGTGCTCTTGAAGAGGATATCTCTTGTTCATTACGGCACTTGCATTTGAAGTACTTGTTTAACTTTCAAATAATATAATCAATTCTTCGTTCAGACAAGAAACAAATAGAAATAAAAGGACTTCACTTTATTCCTTCAATTTTCAAAAGTACATAAGCATTTATTATGCTAAAAAGAAATTGTCATTTCCTGTGACTAACTTGTACAACTTGTTTCTACGGGGTTGATCGCGCAGTCCCCAATCCCCATGATACAATTATGTTTCTGGGTTTCGTATTCCCGTCGATCTGGTAGTCAATTCATGTTTTATCCTCATATCATTCTCCCAGTGTTCGAATGCGAAGAAAGCGAATTGGAACACTGGAAGTTTTTCACCTTTGAGGATTACGCTAGTGAATTGCTAGATAATCTTCAGTTCGATAACAAACTTCAATTCCCCTTAGAAATTTATGCTATAGAGCCAAAGATTATCTAACAATCCCCTAGTGGCTTGCACTTGTGAATGGTCGGGGAATCTGTGCCCGACGGCAAACTTAACTTCCCGGTATGAACTTTGCTATCGAGCAAAAGACTATCTAACTGCTCTGCAGTGGTTCTTTGCTTGTATACTTTGTCATTTAAATGTTCTATTGATGTTGCTGAAGCTTCATTCGTAGTATGCTTTCCGTTGCTGCCTCGTTAAAAACCTTGCCAAAAAAACCCATTGTGACAAAAATTGGACGAAGGGAAAAGAGTGCAACACATACCTTCAGTACAGGCGATGTTTATCAGCAATATTATCTCTTGAGGTGTGCCACGTTCCACTTGCTTGGCAACTTTTCTCAATCTTGATTTTCGAACTCGTATGACCCTTTCCCAGTGATAGCTGAAACCCGGTAAGGGCTTTCCCATGTTGGACCTAGCTTTCCCGCATTGAGCTCCCGGGTGTTTTGAGTTACTTTTATTAAAACCAGTCTCCTAATTTGAAATAACGGAGGTTGGCTCTTCGACTGTAATATCTCTCTATTCTCTGCTTTTGGGCTGCCATCCTTATATGCACCAAGTCCCTGCGTTCATCGAGCAGCTCTAAATTGACTAATATTTCTTCATTGTTTGTTTCTTCGTTTTCCCGAAAATACCTCAGGTTAGGTTCTCCTACTTCCACCGGATCAAGGCTTCTGCTCCATACATAATAAAAAGATGAGTCTCCCCCGTGCTTGATTTGGCCGTTGTTCGGTACGCCAATAGTACACCTGGCAGCTCTTCAGGCCATTTACCTTTACTGTCTTCCAATCTCTTTTTGAGATTTTGTATAATCACCTCGTTCGTTGATTCTGCTTGGCCGTTTACGCTCAGATAATAGGGTGATGATGTGATCCTCTTGATTTTCAAGTCTTCAAGGAACTTTGTGACCTTTGCGCCTATAAATTGCGGCCTATTATCGTAGGCTATCTCTTTTGGTATCCCAAATCTGCAAATGATGTTCTCCCATAAGAAATCTATCACTTCACGTTCGTCGATCTTCAGATAAGGACCTGCTTCAACCCACTTAGAAAAATAGTCAGTTAAAATTAAAAGAAATTTTACCTTACCTGGGGCTAGGGACAGTGGTCCTATGATATCCATTCCCCACTTCATGAACGTCCATATGACAAAACTGAGTACAATGGCTCTGCCGGTTGATGTACCAACGGTGTGTAGCATTGACATTTATAACATTTTTGAACATAGGCTTTGGCGCCTTGTTCCACCCGGGGCCATTAGTATCCTGCCCTAATTAATTTTAATACTACGAAATGTGTGCCTGAGTGATTTCCGTAGATCCCTTCGTGGACTTCTCGCATAACATAATTAGCTTCGGAGGCTCCTAAACATTGGGCCAATGGGCCTTGAAAAGATCTTCTGTACAATTGACCCCCTTGAAGCTATATCGAGCTGCTTTAGCATGCAGTGCCCGAATTGCCTTAGGATCTTCAGGCAATTTCCCGTGCTCGAGATAGTCAATAATCTCGTTTCTCCAGTCCCAGACCAAATTAGTCGTGTTTACCTCGTAATAGCTATCCGTGTCCAATACGGAATGCATAAGCTGTACTACCGTAGCGGAGTCCGATCCCTTCATCTCTGTGGACGATCTAAGGCTAGCTAGTGCATCTGCTTCTGCATTCTCTTCCCTCGGTATATACGTAATTGACCATTCTTGGAGCCGAGTAAGCAGAGCCTGGTCCTTCATTACATATTGTTACATGCATTCCTTATTGGCTTTCAAGATCCCGTAGACCTGATTTACCACCAACTAGGAGTCACATTTGATTTCTATGACCTCGGAGTCCAGTCACTAGGCCAATTCGAGCCCTGCAATCAAAGCTTCATACTCCACTTTATTGTTAGTCAGAGGAACAATTTTTATGGCCTGCCTTACGGTTTCTCCCGAAGGCGTGCTTAACAATATGCCAAGCCCGGACACTTTCACGTTGGAAGCTTCATTCGTGAACAAGGTCCAAACTCCTGATGTCGATTCCAACACCATTACTACTTCTTTGGTAGCCAAAGGTAAAAGTCCCGGACTGAAATCGGCTACAAAGTCGGCCAAAACTTGTAACTTAATTGCAGTCCTAGGTTTATATTTTATGTCAAATTTGCTCATTTCGACGGCCCACTTGGCCAGCCTACCTGAGAGTTCAGGTTTATGAAGAATATTACGTAGGGGCAAAGTAGTCACCACAGCTATCAGGTGACACTAGAAATAAGGCCTTAGCTTTCGAGTGGCAACTACGAGGGCTAAGGCTAATTTTCCAGATGTGGGGAGCAAATTTCATCTTCCATCATAATTTTACTTACATAATAATAGGAGATGTGTACCTTCGTCCTCGCGGACTAAAACAACACTTACCACTACCTCCGAGACCACTAAGTAGATCAGTAGTTGTTCGCCTTCCTCCGATTATGATAGTAATGGAGGACTTGACAAATGACTTTTCAGATCCTTCAAAGCCTGTTGGCATTCCGGTGTCCACTCAAAGTTATTCTTCTTTTTGAGAAGTGTGAAGAAATGATGGCATTTTTTCGAAGATTGGAAAATGAAACTTCTCAAAGCGGTCAGTCTCCCCGTTAGCCTTTAAACCTCTCTTACGCTTGATAGCTGGTCCAGGATATCTTCGTTGGCTTTGATTTTATTGGGGTTTACCTCGATCCCCCTTTGTGACACAAGGAATTCTAGTAGCTTATCGAAGCTGACCCCGACACTTCTCAGGATTAAGATTCATGTTGTGTTTCCTCAAGATGTCAAAGGTCTCTTGCGGGTGTTTCAGATGGTCACCTGTATTCAAAGACTTAACCAGCATATCATCTATGTAAACTTCCATAGTTTTTAATATTTGCTTCTCAAAATTTTTTTTTGCGAGCCGTTGATAAGTGGCTCTAGCGTTCTTTAGCCTGAAAGGAATCACATTGTAATAATATGTGCCAAAGTTCGTTATGAACGAAGTTTTTTCCTGATCCACTAGGTTCGTCTTGATTTAGTTGTACCCGGAGTAAGCATCGAGGAAACACATCAACTCGTGCCTGGCCGTCGCATCAATCATTTGGTCATTGTTTGGCAATGCGAACGAGTCTTTTAGGCATGCCCTATTTAAATACTTATATTTTATGCACACGCGAAACTTATTATTCTTATTTGGAACTACTACTACGTTATCTAGCCAGTCAGGATACTTTATCTCTCAAATTGAACCGATATCAAGAAAGTGAGTTACCTCTTCTTTGACAAATTTGTTTCTGACCTCGGCAATAAGATGTTTTTTTGTCTTAACGGAGGGATACTGGGGTCCAGGATTAGCTTGTGCACGGCCACTTTTGGCGGGATGCCTGTCATATCCGTATTGGACCATGCAAAACAATCGATATTAAATTTAAGAAATTCAATAAATCCAGATCTGAGTTCGGGGTGCAGTCTTATCCCTAAGTTGAACTTCCTCTCCAAGAATTTTTCGAATAATGCAACTTGTTCAGGTTCTTCTGTTGTGGACTTTGTTGTGTCCGTCTCTTCTGGTACTTGGAAATACCTTGGCACCTGATAGGATTCCGATGACTCTTCCCCCTGGTTGACTTCGCTCGGCTTGAAAGCAGGCGCCGGTTCTTGTAATTGCTATGCCGCATGCTCCTTCCCTTTGTTACTGGAGACTCAGATTGCATTCATCTCCCTTTTGCCAGTTGATCACCTCTTATTTATTTAATTCCCTCGGTAGTTGGGAATTTCAGCAACTGATGATATGTTGATGGCACAGCCTTCATCTCGTGCAACCATGGTCTCCCCAGGATGATATTGTAACCCATATCACCGTCTACTACATCAAAAAGGGTCGTCTTCATCACCCCCTCGGCATTTGTGGGCAGCAGGATCTCTACCCGAGTTGTCACATTTGCTAGATTGAACCTGGCGAGAAGTTTCATGGCCGAAATAATACTTCCAGTGAGCTTAGCTTGCTCCAGCACTCTCCACTGGACAATATTGGCCGAACTTCCTGGGTCTACCAGAACACGTTTAGTTTTAAAATCTAAGACACTTAGAGAGATTACCAGGGCGTCGTTATGCGGTAGAAGCAGTTTGTTTGCGTCTTCCTCCGCGAAAGTTATGTCTTTCTCGGCGACTTCCCGGAGTCTCTTGCTCTGTGTTACCGACACCTTTGTCTTTTTACCGCCGAAAATGTCATAGCATTAATCTCGTTCCCCCCAAAATCATATTGATCGTCAAACGTGGAGGATCCTCTCCTGCTTTTGAAGGCTCTATGTTATCGCGATTGCGACCGTAATTGTTTTTAGCCCGATCACTCAAAAATTCCCTGAGATGGCCGTTTTTCAACAATGTTGCCACCTCTTCACGCAGGTGCCGGCAATCTCTAGTCCGGTGACCGTTTTTCCCGTGGTATTCGCAGTAGAAATTAGGATCCCTTTGACTAGGATCAGATCTCATTGGCTTGGGGAAACGTGCTTCTTTAATGTTCCTCATAGATGACACCAGCTCCACTACGTTGACGTTGAAGTTGTATTCAGAAAGCTTGGGGTAGGAAGAATCTCGAGAACCTGACGTTTCCTTGTCCTGCAACAATCGAAAACCTTTGTTGCGTCCATCGACCCGTTCATTGGGCAAAATAGACCCCTTGAAGATCGCCGATCTGTGTTGAAATCATCTTTTGATTTTTCTTTATTGTTTTCCCTATTTTAACCCATGGCCGACGCCGGAAAACCGAGTTGATCATGATCAATCCTTATCTTTGACTCATACCGGTTGTGAACATCCGCCAAAGATGTTGCCTGGAACTCAAGCAAACTTTCTTTCAACTTTCGGAAAGCGTTGGAACTTCTCTGATTCAGGTCTTTGGTGAATGCTTCAGCTGCCCATTTGTCCGGTACGGCTGGTAGCAACATCCTTTCCTTCTGGAATCAGGTCACAAACTCCCGCAGCAACTCAGATTCTCCTTATGCAATCTTGAATATGTCGTTATTTCAAGCCTGTACCTTTCGAGCCCCGGCATGGGCCTTGATGAAAGAGTCCACGAGCATCTTGATAAAGTCTATGAAGTGCTCGGGCAAAAGCGAATACCATGTCAGGGCTCCCTTCGTAAGAGTCTCCCCGAACTTTTTCAGTAAGACGGACTCAATCTCGTGGGGAGCTAAATCGTTTCCTTTCTCCACTGTTGTATAGGTGGTGATATGCTCCTGAGGATCTGAAGTCCAATCATACTTCGGCACGTCTGGCATTTTAAACCGCTTCAGGATCAATTCTGTGTCGCGCTTGGTTTGAATGGCAATTATTAGTACTTCTCTGAGTCTGGCCCTTTCAGCACTGGTGGTTTGCCCGGAATATGATCAATTCGGGCGTTTATTTCCCTCATAAACCATATAAGTACGGTATTAAAGGGATCATTCTCATTATTGTTACCGGGTCCGCCACCGTTCCCCTTGATCCCATCAAAGCCGACCTCGCCCTTCGGAGTGTTGTTTTCGACCCTCTACGTTATTTGATTTGCGGGAGCACTAGGAGGAACTGAACCTCGTCCATTCACATTGTTGGAAGCACCCGACAACGCTTGCTTTAATTTTGTCATGACCTAATCCTGCTGCGAGAGATGGCCCATAATGGCCCTTTGTTGTTCCCTCAGGATCCTTACAGTTTCAACGACGTGCTCATCTTTAGCATCATCAAGGGTTGCCTCTCGAACATGTCGTGGATATTGCCCGCCATGAACCAGCGTAGCCTCGTTCCCCTCGTTGCGGGTGTCACTGATGGATCTTCGTGCTGAGGATGATTTTCTTGGGCCTCAACGTTGTGAGTGGTCTTGACACCGTTATCTACCATTTTTAATGATTTTTGCTAGAACAAAGAATCAAACAAGTTAGTAATAGATACAGGGACCAATTCAATTGCATGACTGTCTATGCACCACGGTAGGCGCCATACTGTTTACTTGTAACACCATATAGTTGAATTTATACGTGGTTTATAGAAAAGTGAATCAATTTGATCCAAAAATAATAGATGAATTAGACAGTAATCTAAGACTTAGCCTTGAAATTGAAATAAAACGGCAGATATCTTAGTTCCGGGCGCAAAGCTACCAAAGACAGTAAGAACAATATAAATAAGAAAGAAAGTAAAATGTTATTGAGCTTTTGATATAGTATAGTGTATGCTTGTCAGAAAATTCGTGTCCCTCACAATGGTTGTGGGGATCACTATTTATAGTGGTGTCTAGGGAATGAGATCCTAGGATCAAGCTCTTCTTTAATGACAATTATGAAGGCCATTGAAGAATGTATAATGGTGAGCAATGAATGTTTTGTGTTCGGCTCCACGTATCACTCTCTCATGCTAATATTAAATATGAACATATTTTACCCATACAGTAACACAAATACAATGAACTCTAACTATTATACCACTTAAATCTCACTACATTACCAAGAATTCTACCTCAACAACACCGCTACTCAGCCCTCGATCTCTGATTTGACTCTTGAATCTATAACATATAAGATAGAGAGAGAGAGAGAGTCCACCCGTTTAAATATAAGGGACAATTTCTTTTGATTACTAGTCAAGTTCAAAAAGAACTTTGCTCTGTATCCCTTGAGAATTTTTTTTTTTATTTTTTATTCCTCCCTCCAAGAGTTTCCCACTTTGCTTTTGGGGTGACTCGAACTCACAACCTATTGGTTGGAAGTGGAGGGTGCTCACCACTTGAATAACTCACTCTTGTCAATCCCTTGAGACTTACCTTGGTAATTCAAATTTTATGGTTTAAATAATGTTAAAACTATTCAGCTTCTTGATTTTCCAAAATGGTTAAAAGTAATAAGATAAAGTTTTTAACATTTAAATAGTGTTTTTGCATCTATACCCGGTTTTGAGGTCACAATTGAGCATACACCCACTTTGCAAAAAAAAAAATCCAAAGCTACCCACTTTACGAGCAACTTCAGACTTATTAGGTCTGAAGTTAAAAAAAATAGTCTAAAGTAAAAAAATTACACTTCAAATGCACTTAAGGCCAAATAGGTCTAAAGTGTAACCAATGGTTTCGTACACTTAAGGCCAATAGTCTAAGTAAGAAATTGCACTTCAGATGCACTTAAGGCCAAAAGGTTTGGAGTGCAACAAACGTTTTGCAACACTTAAGGCCAATAAGTCTGAGTGAAAACTTGAACTTCAGATGCACTTAAGGCCAAAAGGTCTGAAGTGCAACCAGCGTTTTTATGCACTTAAGGCCAAATAGACCTGAAGTGCAAATTGCCATAAACGAAAATTTTTTCTTCGAATTATAACAATCCAATATACAATTTAATACCTAAATCTACTCCAATATACAATTTAATACCTAAATCTACTCCAAATGAGCTCAAATTTGAAACATAACCTCCAAATATCATCAGGAACAAACCTCAATCATCAATTTGTCAAAACAACGATAAATTTAACGAACCCATTTTGCAATTAAGAAAAAGAAGAAGAAAAAATCCTAAGCAATAGTATAAAATTAAGTGCTATAACAGCTCACTACTGTAAAACATCATAAACTACCTTAAAATATGTTCACAAACACCATATAAAATAACTGTCAAGAAGAAGGAGGAGGAGGAGGAGGAGAAAAAGGCCTAAGTTGTTTAAAAAATGGGTAAAAGTTAAAAAAAATTAAAAAATGGGTATAGGTTAAATGAGGGCGACCTAATAAGGCAGAAATGCAATTTTTCCCACCAAAATATAGACCCTGATGGAATAGTAACAAGCGTGAGTTTCACCCCTATATATGGGCTAAAAGTTGGAGCAGAAATCCAATGAATATTTAGGAAGAATGGCCAGATCCAACCCAATTGGATCTCAATAAGGGAAGAAATTCAAAAATAGCCAGATTTACAAGTGGTTATTCAAAAATAGCCACAGTTTCAAAAATAATCGAAATTTAGCCACTTTTCATGTAAAGATAAATCTGAACGAAAACACAATTCAAATTCGGAAAATACTCCAGTATAATATTGATCTGGCCCATTCTTCCTGAATATTATACTGGAGTTCCAGTATAATATACTGGTCCAACATAATATGCTGGAAGTTCATACACATGTGCTCCAATCTCTAATATATTATGCTGGAATTTTCCATGTGTTGGAGTTCCAGCATAATATGTTAGAAGTTCATACACAGGTGCACTGATCTCCAGTATATTATGCTGGAACTTTCCGTATTATAGCGAAATAGTGGCTATTTTTCAATGACTTTGCAAATGCTGGCTACTTTTGAATGACCAGTCCTAAAACTGGCTAGCCCGTGCTATTTTTACCTCAAGAAGAGATTCAATTTCACATCCTTTGGCAACTTTTACAATCTTTAGGGTGTGTTTGTTATGAAGGAAAATATTTTTCAATTTTTTCATGTTTGGTTGGCTTAAATATTGTGAAAAATATTTTCCTCATGAACTCATTTTCCTCCAATTGGAGGAAAATATTTTCCGTATTAAGAGAAGGAAAAACATTTTCCAAAACTCGTTTTCAACCTTCCCTAAATCTATTTTCCATCCCANCCCACATTCTTTATCCCCAGCAACCCCTACTAACTCACCCCCACACCCCCAACCCACTCCCCACCCCAACCCTAAATAGAAATATTATTAATAGTACTTTCTTTTCATGTTATGGATATAATTTTTTTTTCTTTTGAACAAATGAGTATTTTCTTTTCATGATATAAAAAAAATATTTTTTTTTTCATTTTAACAAAAAAGTACTTTCTTTTTATGATGTACAAAAAGTATTTTCTTTCATTTCAACAATATGATGTAAAAAGTATTTTCTTTCATTTCAACATAATGATATAAAAAGTATTTTATTTCATTTTAACAAAATGATGTAGTAAAAGGTATTTTCTTTCATTCAACAAAATAAGTATTTTATTTTCATGATGTAGAAAAAATATTTTCTTTTGTTTTAACAAAATGAGTACTTTATTTTCATGTTGTAGAAAGAACACTTTCTTTTCAACCAAAAATAGATTATTTTCTTTTTAGTTATGAAGCACAAATTTTAACGTTATTTTTGTGTAAAGAAAGTAAAGAAGCACATTAGTTCCTTTGAGCTTGTGTGAATTTTTAAAAGAATAGTTGAATTCTTTAAAAAAGTAAAGTCCTGAAATATGTTAGGTATTTTAGGGGGTGGGGGTGGGGGAGGGCACATGAAACATTGGGACTGGAGAAATGAGGGGGATTGATCAGGAGAGTAGCATAAAATTATGTTTCCCGAAAAATATTTTTTACTCTCTAACCAAATACTAGAAAATATTTTCCGGAAAAAAATTTCACTCACCAACCATACAAGAGAAGATAAGTGATAAAACCACTCATTTCCATGAATTTTCTAGGAAACTATTTTTCTTGGGAAACTTTTTCCTTCATACCAAACACACCCTTAGTCATTAGTAATTTTTTTTCCGGTCATTTCGAATCCACTTTTAAAACATGAAACAAAATCAAAAGAAAAAGGAAAATTTAGGCCATACTAATTATTCTGCTATACTAACATATGTACATATTGTTCTTTGAAGTTTAACTATGAAACTTCGTCCCCTTTATGTTTAGAATTACAATTACTGAATTTTATGTATTCATTATGAATTACAATATGCTTGTTATAAATAGAGTTTTATTTATGGTGAATGTCTATACTTTAGAGAGATTTTAGGGTTTGTTACTTGGTGGCTAAGTTACGTTTTCCCTATAAATAGAGGGGTTCTATTCCATTGTAATTGATCACAAATCAATAAGAATTCTCTCTCCCTACTTTTCTCTGTAATATTCTTCCTCTTTTATTATTTCATAACATGTTATCAGCACGAGACTCTAAACAATTGGATAGAAGCTTTGGGATTGAGCATAATGATTGTCAATTGTTCCATGAGCACAATGTTTGTCATCGATTTGACATGAGATTTTGTAAAGCACGTATAGATGATTATGGTCCATTCATGATGTGAATGTGACAACATCTGATTTATGAATACATATTCATTCTTGGAAGAATATGAACGTGTTAGTGGTAGTGAATATACCACACTCACCTCTAAGAGGAGGTTTGAGATGAAATAAGAAAATAATTTTATTATTACGGCATGAATGGTCATTGATCACGTACCTATTGTGATTATGTCATATTATGGCAATGTGATTATTACATGGCAAAAGTAATGGAAGCAACATATCTTCCCTATAATG